GTTCGCCGCCCAGAAGGACCTTGTTGTATGCGTCGACGAGTCGACCCCACTCCGGGAAGCCCTTGGGCGGCTTATCGCCAGGGCCAGGTGTCAGCGAAGCCGAGGCCGGTGAGGGTGCCGGCGTGGCCGGTGCCGGCCGGGGAGGCGGGGCCGAAAACAGGTCCCACTGCCTCCTCGCCTCCGACCACATATGGCGTAGAATCGCCTGTGCGACCGGGGCCTCCTCGTCGTCCACCTTGCGCATGGTGCCGGCCACGACGATGCCGTCGCGAAAGGGCCGGAACACCTTAGTATCCACGCTCTCCCAGGTGTCCGCCACGAGCGCCAGCGTGGCAGTGCGATTGAGGGAGCGCGCCTCAAGGTACGCCAGCATGTCGGGGCCGGCACCAGCCGACGCCGCCAGCGTGGGGAATTCCACCATAGCCGTGGAGACCAAAGCCGCCGAAGCCATGGCACCGGCGACGAGGGGGGGAGGCTGGGCGAACAGAGCAGAGACGCGGCACTGATCGACGAGCCGGCTGGTGACTCAGACGGGCTGCCGGCAACAATCTGACTAGGGCCTTTCCCCAGCCCCGTGCGTTCAGTCCGACGACTCCGACGAGTCCGCGGAGGCGGAGCTAGATGCCACCGGTGACTCCGCCTCTTCGGTGGGCGAGCCCGGCGCCGGCTTGTCCCGAAACTGGGGGAAGCAGCGCAAACACCACGCCGCATCCGCCGGCTTATCGGTGATGCGGTAAAAGGCCCGAACGCCGTACGGCCAGGAGCACCCCTTGGTTTTCCAAAAAAAACCTGTCAGCCGAGGCCTCAGCCGGGTCCGCCGCGTGCACTCTCAGCGCCTTGGCGTTGTAGATATAGTGCTCGGGCGCCGTCCCCGTCGCAGCTGTCAGGGCCGCCGGGTCGGGCGTGGGCTCCGGGACGAAGTCGACCGCGGGTGAAAAGTCCGCCGGTGACGACTCCTGCCGGGGGACCTTAGTGTTCCCGGTCCGGTCGATGTCCATGAGGGCCGGCGCCTGATTGGTTGAGGCCGCCGGGGCCTGCGCCACCGCCGAGCCAATCTCCAGTGTCGGTGGCGTGCACCCCGTCGCCTGGTGGAGCACCCGGTGTGGCACGTCCGGGGCCATCGCCAGGGGTGCTGCCTGAATGTATCGCTCGACGGCGGCCGAGGACCACCGCCCCAGTAGCTGAATGACTGGGGTGGGCACGCCTTTGGACGCCAACCACGACGCCCCGGCCACCCTGGCCAGATGTCCGCCGAATAGCTGGACCGGCGCACCGGTGTGATCGACCGTGGTGGTCTGTATGCCGGCAGCCACCAGAACCCGGCGAAATAGGAGAATAGCCGACGACTTCTCCCATGTCGCGCCGGCGCTGTCGGGGAAGAGCGGCCGATCCCTGAACCAGAGCCCCGCCGCTTTGAGGCGTTCTATGTGCCGGAAGTATGGGCACAGTGGTGACACCGCCGCGCGGCAGGCACACCTCAGCTGGCGCATGGTCAGCTCGGTCTGGCCGCCGGTGGCCGCCTTGTGCAGAGGTATGACGGTGCCGCCCGCCGCCTCGAGGTCCTGTGTCCGCGCCGCCGCGAACTCAATTTCACGAAGCATGAACCAGGCCGCCAGTAGGAGGGCGTCCGCTGCGTGTGCCGACGTCCACGGCGACCACGCCCGAGCCGCCGGGACGTCGCTGATCGCCACCAGGGTGGTCAGACGATCCACCGGGAACACCGCCTTGAGCCGGCTGCCGGACAGGCCCCGCAGGACCGCCCGAGTGTAGCGCCGCATCGCCTTCTTGAGCAGCGGGTCGACCGCCTGTTCCGGGAACCGCTCCTGGTAGGCCACGGTAGTTCTGGGCGGAGCGGTAGCCGCCGCGACGCAGCGACGCCGCGACGCTGCGAACCGCCTCCAGTGAGATGGGCCAGGGCTCGACGGCCCACGCCTGGCACAAGTCCACCCAGGTGCGGACACGCGACTGGAAGGGTCCCTGTGACGAGCGCGCCAGGACGTTCTCGTCGAGGTCAGCCAGGGCCTCCTGCCGGTGTTCCGCCAGCGCCGCCTCAAGGGCCGAGCGTTTGCAGGCCCGCCGGACTTCCCGCCGGACAGGCAGGTCACCCCGTCGGCCGGGAGGCACCGGCTCCGGACCGGGTGGCGGACCATCGCCCCCAGGCACCGTCGCGACGGCCAATCGGCCGACCGTCGCCGGTTGCGTCACCGTCGCCCTTGCGAGGCTGCCGGGGGGGCCGGTGTTGAGCTGATAACCAAGGCTGTGCTGCCGGGCCCGTCGGTCGATGACCCGGTCCCGGCGCGGTCGTGGTGCCACGACGCCAAGCGCACCAACACCTCTGCCGGTACCCCCGCCTGGACCAAGGCGGAGGCCGACGCCAGGGCGGATGCCACGTCGCGGGCCCCAGCCGCCGGCAAAGCCGGGAGGTGTTCCTTAGCGCCGAGCTCGACGAACGCTCGAGCCAGGAGGGCAAAACCGTCGCGGCCGTGAAGGTCGACCGCCGGCATGTTCGGGCGTGTGCCGGGAAACCGGTCTCCTCGAGCCACCTCGCCTGCCTAAAGAAAAAGAGAAATGGATGCGCACGACGACGACGACATGAACTGCGACTGGCTCACTCTCACCGCCGGTTTTCCATCCCAGTGCAAGTGCAAACTGCGCGGTGAAACACGCCGGTGCTTACAACCGACGTGTTCCGCCGAAAATGTTCGCGCGGAGAGGCTCGCGAGAGCTTCCGCCGGGGAATAATCAAAAAGGAAAACGCACCCAAAACCGCCTAGGTCCTGTGAACTCGCCGAGCCAGCGAAGTTGTGGACGACGACCTCGACAAAGTGCGCCGGCAGGGGCTCAATCTAGTAGTCGCGGCCCCGCCTGGACGCCCTGTGGCACTCGGCACAGTCGTGATGGTCATGTGCCGTCAGGTCGCCGGCGTTGGCGCCAGCGCCTCGCCGAACCACCACTGGCCGAAGGCACCGGGCGACGCTGGAGAGACAGTTGTCGCCAGCGCCGCAAGGGTGGCCACACCAGCCCACCACCCAGATCTCGCCGTTGAGGCGCTCCGGCACCCGCATCCCCCGAACGCCGTCGGGTAGCTTCCGCACAAAGAAGTAGGATGCGCCGGTCGCCTGGGGGAGCATCGGGCCGGTGCCGGACGCCGCGGCCGCCTCCAGGTCGTCCAGCTGCCGGAGGTTTGCGACCGCCAGCTGCGCCAGGCCCGAGTGGTTGATGGCCTCGGTCGACTGCGCGCCTGGCTGTTCCATCGCAGCGACGTGTCGCCGCCACTCCTCACTGCACAACGCCTTGCGGTCCTCGACGATGCGCCGGTAGTCCCGGTCGTGGTCCTGCAGCTCCCGGATCGACGCATTGCGCGCCGGCTTGCGAGGGAGTGCCGGGAAGCCTTCGCCGGTCTCCCGGTTGGCATTCGGGTACCGCATCTGCACCGGTGCCGAGGTGGTCGCCGGCTGCGGGAAGCTGCTCCTTGCCCGCGCCGGCCTGGAGCCGGATGCCTCGCGCTCCGCCTCGCCTTGGCGCAACTCGCCGGCGATGCGCTCCTGCAGCTCGCGCATACGCCGGTCTTCGGCAGCCTTCCTGTCGGCCTCCGCCAGGTAGTCGGACAGCGGGCCGGCGCCTGCTGACGAGGACGACGCCTGTGCAGCCGGCTGTCGGGGCGGGGGCGGCCGCGGTGTGGGACCCACCTGCAGCTCGCCCCGCCCCATGGCTTCATAGAACGCCTGGGCCGACACATAGTTCATCGCCTGGGCCGCACGTGCGTGCTCCAGGCTTTGAAAGCCGACCTCCTGCCAGGTCGCCGGGGGCGGCGACTTGCCAAACACTGCCGGGCGATCCTGTCCGCCAGCGCCTGCATCCAAGTGACCCATGGGTTCGGACGCCGGCTGTGTCACTGTGGATGGCGCCGGCGAGCTGGCCTTGGCGACCTCTGCCGGCGGACGAGCCGGCGCCTTCTTCACGGGTGGGGTCGCCGCCGCTGCCTTGGCGTCCGCATACGTCGCCTCCGACGCCCCCAAAGCCATAGCCAGGGCCCGACGTTGCAGCCGGGTCCACGCTCCGAAATGAAGCGCCAGGTCAACGCCACCGTCGAGGGCGTCCTGCAGGACGCGGACCGCCGCAGCGATCTCCGACGAAGACGGGGCAGCCATGGCGCCGGGAGGAGGCTAAGAGGAATGCTGAAGGTCGGGGGCGTCGACGCGAGCCGCAGATGCTACGGCATATGCGTCGATCGCCGAACATGTCCCTACACACACACGTGTGTTTCACCACAAGCTGGGGGTTGGTGGGGCGCAGCCCCACCTGTTTGCAAACATACTGCTCGCATGGGGTGGATGGCGGGGCTTCAAAAAGACTATTATTATGCATGGTGGATTTCAAAAACGACTAAGAGGCTGTTGAGCAAGCTTGCACACGGCTCAAAACCAGGGGGGGTTGGGGGGGGCTGCGGCCCCCCATTTTCAAACACACCGCCTCGCATGGTGAATGGCGAGGTTTCAACCAGACTCACATTTGCTTAAGACGGCATTATCTCACTACCACCGTCCTCACCGCCGTCATTGTCATCTTCATCGCCACCATCAAGCATGTGCATGTAAGCATGCATGAATGCGTGATTTTTTTTTGCAATGGATGTGATCTAAAGGTCTTCCAACTGATGCCCTGGGCCCGAGTGTGGCTGTATCCAAACTACTGAGCAGTTTAAAGGGGATGGTTGAGGACACCAGAATCACGACGGAGCCCCGGGACCTGAGGACCAAGGGACCAGAGGACCGCGGACCAACAGACCACGGGACCAGAGAACCACGGGACCACAAAACCAGAGGATCCAGGAAACCCATCACAAAAAAAAATACCAAAAAAAATTCAGAAAGATCAACTACCAAAGAAAAAACCTTGAACACTTGGCCGGGCAGGCATGATTGGACGAGCTTCCACTTTGCCCTCAACTACCGTCACGCGTTTTTTGACCGCATTGGTTCCTGGCACGACGCTAAATCTATGGAAATGTCCAGCGACGACCTTACCTG